TTATCATAGTTTATATTTCTCACACCAGCAAAATATGCTCATTCCACTTCTAGGAACTGCAAAAATCTCACGCCCAAACAATATCAGGCTCAAAGTCCAGCATTGCTTGACCTGTACCAGGTGTGAATGTGTTGAATGTGCCTTGGCTGCAGCTTCTCAGATATAGCTGCTTTGAATCCAGAGACCTATGAATTAAAAACCAAATTATTTGCCTCCCAATCTAATATACAGTGGTGGTACATGGACAGGGTAACCACAGTAGACACTTCCATTTTAAAAGAGGAGGAAGAAGGGCATTTAGTGGTCACTTCCATAGCATTTCTGAAGAGATGGGCACATATTTTGGGCATGGAATGTTCCCTGATTAGTTCTCCGTGATGTTGTAGTATATTATAAGTATATATTTGGTTTTCATCCTGTGTAAGGCATAGAGCTCCTAAAACCTTTGGTAATTTCTAAGCAGTAAGAGTAATGGGAACATCTTCTGTTGTGGTATTTGGTCTTTTGTGCTCCCTTCCTGATAATAGCTCTAGAGCCACATAAGGTGAAAGATGTCTTGTTATTCATAACCTGCTCCTCTCAACCACTCCTGAGTTTTAAGTTAATGAGGTGGCTTTTGGAAAGCCCCTAAGGATGCCAGGGGAATCAGCCGTGTGATTAGAGGGTTGAAATTTTCAGGTGCCTCCTCCCACCAGACCTTCTGGTGGGTAAAGGGATTAGAGATTGACTTTATCACTAATTTCCAAAGATATAATCAATCATGTCCACACAATGAAGCCTCCATAAAATCCCTAAACTACAGAGGTTCAGAGAGCCTCTGGGTTGGTGAACAAGAATGATCTATGTGCCGAGAAGGTGACACACTCCAAACTTTATAGGGACAGAAGCTCCTGTGCTCAGGACCCTTCTGGACCTCTCTTTATGTATCTCTTCATCTGGCTGTGCATCACATCTTTTAATATTCTTTGTAATAGATTAGTATTCTAGTAAGTTAACTATTTTCCTGAGTTCTGTGAGCTGCTCTAACATTTATTGACTATGAGGAGGGGGTCAAGGAAACCAGTAACCTATAGCACATTTACGCGAAAAATGACACATTTTTCATTTTTCATAACTTTATTGATTTGGGTATTGTGAGTATGTCTGCTATCTCTCACTATTGGCTTCTAGTGGGTAGAGGCCAGGGGTGCTACTAAACATCATCCAATACATAAGACAACCCCACAGCAAAGAATTACTTGGCCAAAATGTCAGTAGTACCAAGAAATTTGACAAACCACTTTTGACATTTTGATTAGTCACAGCACCTTCTTCATATATGAGATAAATCTTTTTTTGTGTTTCAGTTGCGTTTTTACCTTTCTTGAAGTCATAAAGCATAATATGCCAGATAGTTGCTTATTTTCTTCCATCTTGGACATATGTTGCTTATTTTATTCCATCTTCAATATTAAAGTGGCTACACAAAAATTCACCAGCGCTGATGGTTTTTTTTTTTAAATGCACACTGATATGACAGCTGTCACAATGCAGTCTAACAAAATTGTTTCTAATGAAGTTAAGGACAACTAAGCACTCGTAGAGCCATTGTATGGAAAAAATTAAATTAACTTTTTTGACCAATTCCATAGGTGAGCAACTTGATCCTAGCCAAGGAGATCTGAAGGGAAGTGTATTCTGATAGGAGGCTTCTGAGCTAATTTTCCTCACTCCTAAGAAAGCATCTCGGGAGGAAATGAGCCGTCGCTTGTGCTGTGTATTGTCTAGTCATAACACCTGGAATTGCTGAAGCCATCTTGACCACCAGAGGAGTCAGCTTGAGGGCAGTGAGAATGGCAGGGTGTATGATGAGGGAAGAACCTTGGTCCTTTGTTTTTCCCCAAATCAATACATGTTTTTGTTGCATCTTTAAAAACATTACAAGTAAGTCTGAGAAATCATCTGGCATCTTGCTGTTTCTGTACCTGGAGAATGTGGATCTTTTGCATCAGCCTATTGAACTGTTGGTATTTCAGAAAATGGATGCCATCCATTTCTGATGTCCTTCTTGTTAACTGTTGTGGCTTGCTGAATCAAAGTAGCTGAATTTAAAACCAGTTTGTGCTATTCCCTTTAAGAACCAACTCATCCTTCTGGGCTTGAGATACTAAACATGCAAAACCTGACCTCGAAACCCTGTGGATGTGTTTTTACTTAAGGAGTTTCTGATTGCAGTAAGAGAACCATCCTCCTGAATAAGGATGCCGATGGGAAAGTGAGCAGACACACAGACCTTACCTTGTAAGGGAAGCCCAGTGTAACACCTCTGACGGTGGTCAGTATTTGGCTACAAATAGTGCTGATGGTAGCCAGTGCCTTTCTGTCTCTCCACCATTTATCAACCCTGAGCCTCTTTTTCTCTCCAAGGAGACTGAGTTCTACATTGGTGTGACTGAAGTCCCTGTGCAGAGTGCCTCTGGAGCCCTCACAATAACTGTGTCCCTTCTGAGTGATGACATTTTCTGGAGTGTTGACAGTCTGATTGCTGAGAATGGTCTTCACCCTCTCACTTGATGTGGCAAAGAGAACCTTGGCCCTTGACAGCATTGTTCAGGCACCAGTCATAATCACACCGGGAGTCTCCCCAACCTCTGTACTTCCATAATGTAAAATAATACATGCTCTTCTTGTTTAAGCTAATGCCAGTCAGACTTTATATTATCTGCTGCCAAAAGAATTCTAACTCTATGTACTCTTATATATTTGTGTATCTGTGATACCCGTATATATCTATATACATCTACCATAATTATTAGCTGTAAAAGACAAATATTAGATAACCATAAGGGCAGGGCCCTGTCCTGTTTAATTTTTTAAAAGATTATATTTATTTATCTTTAGAGGGGAAGGGAAGGAGAGAGGGAGAGAAACATCAATGTATGGTTACCTCTAGTGCGTCCCCTGTTGGGAACTGGCCTGCAACCCAGGCATGTGCCCTGATTGGGGATTGAATTGCAATCCTTTGGTTCACAGGCCCGTGCTCAATCCACTGAGCTACACCAGCCAGGGCCTGCTTAATTTTTTAAAAAAGATTTTATTTATTTATTTATTTTTAGAGAGATGGGAAGGGAGGGAGAAAGAGAGGGAGAGAAACATCAATATGTGGTTGCCTCTCGCATGCCCCTAACTGGGGACCTGGCCTGCAACCCAGTCATGTGCTGTGACTGGGAATCAGTCAGGCAACCCTTTGGTTAGCAGGTTCATAGTCAATCCACTGAGCAACACCAGCCAGGGCCTGTTTAATTTTCTTTCTTTGCTTTGTTTTGTTAATTTTTAATTTTAGCCAAAGTACTATTTGCGTTTGGTTAGAAAGAAATAGGGCTCATGAGCACACATTGCAAAACAGCAATCATGTGACCTATATTTCCCCATTCCAGTGTCCCAGAGTCAGCTATATTTAATTGCTTTGCCGATTTCTTCTGGTATAAAGGTGTTTTGACATTTAAATACAGTTAGCTCTTGAATGGCACAAGGGTTAGGGGTGGTTAGCCCCATGCAGTTAAAAATCTGCATGTAACTTTTGACTCCCCCAAAAGTTAACTGCAAACAGTTGTTCCTCAGTATCTGGTTTCAGGACTCTCTAAAGGTACTAAGATCTGCTACATGCTCAAGTCCCCTACATAAAGTATGTGGATCAATGCTTACAGTTGGCTCTCCGCTTCCATAGACTCCCAGCTGCAGGTTGAAAACTGTACAGGTATTTAATGAAAAACAAAATCTGAGTGTAAGTGGGCCTGTACAGTTCAAACCTGTTTTATTCATCTGTAATGTAATTCTGTTTCTTGATGTGTACACTTTTACTATGTGTTTTTACATCCTGTTATAATAATTAGTTTATCTATATCACCCACAATCACTACTGCCTTCCTTCCATTTTTCTGGTATACTGATAACTGTTGGGTGACTCAATGGTCAGTTTACACCAGTGGTTCTCAAAGTGTGGGAGGATCCTTTCAGGAGGTCTGCAAGGTTAAAAATATCTTCATAATAATGCAATAATGTTACTGGCATTCTTCATTTTCTCATTTGACTACAGTGAAGTTTTTAATAAACTGAATAATATGTTGCAACATACTGAATTGACCAATTGTCTTCTTTTAAGCCATATATGAAGGAGCTTTGCAAATATAAAACAGTGCGTTTTTATTGCAATTTTTTTGTTTAGGAAAATGTAATTTTAATTAAAAAGTTATCTAATGTTAGGAGTTCATGAACTTCCTATTTTTATTTGAATTAATAGGTATTTTAAAAGTTTTCATCTTTAAATTTTAAGCTCTTTGGATTGTACCAGTGTCAGATACACAGTTTTCATATTGTGCTATTTTATATAAGATCTTAAGATTGGGACAGGGTAAGTGAATGGTGTGTAGGACTCTCTGTTTCTTTGCAAATACCTGTGAATTGATAATTATTACGATGCAAGTTGAAAAGTTTTTGCTGCCTAACTAGTATTTTCTGAGTTGAAAAAGATAAGTGTCTTGGTTTTAAATAAAAGGCAGTCACCCCAGTCTTTCTCTTCTGACTTTGTTGGGTTTAAAAATTACATTGTTTTTAATCAGTATTCATACTATCCTTACAAAGCGCTATACCAAGGTGAAGTTTAGGAAGCACAGTGTTTCTCTCAGCCTTGGTGTAAAACAGTTAGTGAAGGGCCACGCCTTGCCTGCAGCATTAGGAACCCAGCCTTTAGGAGACAGGTGTCAGGGGCAGAAAATTTAGCCCTTGAGGGTACCAGGGTAACAGACAAAGCCTTAGTCACAAAGAAATGAAATTCAATAATTTTTTGCTAAGTGCTTTGTGTATCAAGATCAGAATAGGAGTAGGGACAAAACTTATTCACTATTAAACTTGGAGGATTATGGGATACAGGTTGTTACATTTTTATGCTAACTATACTTTTATGTGAAAAACCTAGATAAATCCTTTTTTTTTTTTACAGTCAAACCCTTTTTGTATTACAGGAACTAAATGTTAATATGGAGAATGATTTTAAGACTGACTCATCATTATCTACCTTTGCTCTTCAAAGTTCTTCAGAGACATTGTTTTCTATTCAGCTATTAGATTTCAAAACAAGTTTACTGGAAGCATTAGAAGAATTACGTATGAGACGGGTAAGTACCTTTTTAAAATGCTTTTTTTAATCATTCAATTTGTCCAATTTTTTTGTTTAATGAAAAAAAAGACTTAACAAAATAACCTCTTGTTTTAAAAAAGATTTTATTCATTTATCTTTAGAGGGGAAGGGAAGACGAAAGAGAGGGAGAGAAACATCAGCGTGTGGTTGCCTCTTGAGCACCCCAACTGGGGAGCTGGCCTGTAACCCAGGCATGTGCGATGAATAGGAATTTAACCTGTGACCCTTTGGTTCACAGGCTGGTACTCAATCCACTGAGCCACACCAGCCAGGGTGATTTTTTTTTGTTTTTAAAGATTTTATATATTAAGTTTTTAGAGGGGAAGGGAGGGAGAATGAGTGGGAGAGAATCATCGATGTGTGAGAGAAACATCAGTTGGTTGCCTCTTGTACACACCGCAACTGGGCATTGGGCCTACAACTCAGCCTGCAGCCCAGGCATATGCCCTGACCAGGAATTGAACCAGCAATTTCCACTTTGTGAGAGGTTGCTCAACCAACTGAGCCACAATGGTCAGGGCAAAAACAGATCTTACTTGGGAACTGTTTATGAGATATTCATTACCTTGCATGCCCTCCCTCATCTCCCAGTGTTCATGAAAATTTTTAATATTTCCCCTTAGTAGTTACGAAGATATCCTTTTATTTAGCATTCAAAAAGGAAAGTGAAAAATGTTAAGATCCCGTCAATAGTAATAATAATTATATTTAGTTTGTTAAATTAAAAAATGCAGAAAGTAAAATATTGAAACACAATTATTGATGAGCTTGGATGGGTTTGATTGTTAGGTCGTTGCATGTTTAGAAGGTAAAGATATTGACCAACTAAAGACTTTGTTTAGTTATGTAGGCATATTAAATTTCCAGGGTAATCAACAAATGAATAATATTAGGATTTATAATCTTCCCAGATAGAAAGTATGTAATTGTTTAAATTGTCTTGGGTTTGATGGTTCAAATGGCCTTAAAAAAGTAATTTTAGGTCTTAGCTGTCTTGAGCTTTATTTATCTTGGTAAAAAATGTTGAAGCCATCTTCTACGTGTTCCAGAAACTGGCCCGGATAGTCTGCATTTTTGTAATTAGTTTTAATACTGAAAGGTCTGTTAATGGAAAACTCAGGGCTTTCTTACTTCTAAATGGACTTTATTTTTATTTATTTATTTATTTATTAAAAAAAATATACTTCATTGATTATGCTATTACACTTGTTCCATTTTTTCTCCCCTTTATTTCCTTCTGCTCTGTACCACCCCTCCCACCATCATTCCCTCACCTTAGTTCATGTCCATGGATCATATGAGTTCTTTGGCTTCTCCATTTCCCATACTATTCTTAACCTCCCCCTGTTTATTTTGTGCCTGCCATTTATGCTGCTTATTCTTGTACCATTTCCCCCATTCTCCCCCTTCCTCCTCTCTGCTGATAACCCTCCATGTGATCTCTATTTCTGTGACTCTGTACCTGTTCTAGTTGTTTGCTTAGTTTGTTTAGTTTCAGGTGTTGATAGTTGTGAGTTTGTTGTCATTTTACTGTTCATATTTTTTATCTTATTTTTGTTAGATAAGTCCCTTTAACATCTCATATAAGGGCTTGGTGATGATGAACTCCTTTATGTGTTCTTCCATTTTAAATGACAACTTTGCTTGATAGAGTAATCTTGGATATAGGCTCTTGCCTTTCATGACTTTGAATACTTTCCAGCCCCTTCTTGCCTGTAAGTTGTCTTTTGAGAAATCAGCTGATAGTCTTACAGGAACTCCTTTGTAGGTAACTGTCTCCTTTTCTCTTGCTGCTTTAAAGATTTCTCTCCTTATCTTTAATTTGGGTAATGTAATGATGATGTGCCTTGGTGTGTGCTTCCTTGGGTCCAAGTTCTTTGGGAATCTCTGAGCTTCCTGGACTTCCTGGAAGTCTGTTCCCTTTGTGAGCTTGGGGAAGTTCTCCTTCATTATGTTTTCAAATAAGTTTTCAATTTCTTGCTCTTCCTCTTCTCCTTCTGGCACCCCTATGATTTAGATGTAGGAATGTTTAAAGTTGTCCCAGGAGATTCCTAAGCCTCTCCTCATTTTTTTGAATTCTTGTTTCTTTTGTTCTGGTTGACTGTTTAATTGTACGTGCGAGTCAACTTGTTGGTTTTCTTTGTGACTTTTTTTGATTTTGGGTGTTTGAACGTGGTATTTTTGTATTTTTTTTTGTGTTGTTGGGGAGGGGTCTAAAAGGGAACAAGACTGCTTGCTCAACTCTCCACTGGCTTTCCATCACTTCTTCTGCTGCCCACAAGCAAATTGGGCGCTTCTGGTGCTGATTCCAGGTGTGTGGGTTTGTGTACGTTCTAGGGCTCCGTGGGTCTCTCCAATGAACTCTTCTGTGAGGCTGGGACTTTCTCCCGCAGCCTCAACCCTCACGGGTTTTTTAGTCAGAGGTTTTGAGGCTTTATTTCCCCTCACTGGAACCCTGGGTTGCATAGTCTGTCTTGCTCCTGGTTTATCTTAAATGTGGAACAGCCTGGTTGGCCAGCTGCCTCACCTGCCCTGGTCCTCCAGCTCCCACCTTGCTGCAAGTCCTCTGTACTCAGGCTGCCTGTCTCAGCCCCTCCTACTTGTCTAGATCAATGTTTCTCTTTAACTTCTTGTTAAACTGCTGTCAGACTTCCATACAGGTCAGTTTTCTGGCAGTTCTCGTTATTTTTTGTTTTTAAATTTGTTGTTGTCTTTCTTTTGGTTGTTCAAGGAGGCAAAGTATATCTACCTATGCCTCCCTCTTGGCTGAAAATTCTACATACCCCTTTTAAAGAGGAAGGCAAATGAAAAATAATTATTTAGGACACTGTAATTTAAAACATTAGATAATTGAGAATTAGTGTTTTATTTTTTTGTAAAAAAGTGTATCAAAATAGATTGAACAGTGGTTGTCTTATTCTTGTGTAACTTACAGTACCGATGACCATGATTTCTCTGTCTTTGCAAAGGATAGCACTCATGTTCAAGTTCGGATCACCTTCCCACATTTTATCTTTTGCATTTTTAGTTTTATCAAATATCTTTGAGAGCTCCTTTAATTTCACTTCCAATTTTATTCTCTCCATCCTTCTTTTTCTTTTTCAGCATTTTCATCTTTCCTGGCCAATTCCCTTTTTTTGATTATCTGTTTTTGTAAAATGTTATGTGGATTAATCTCTGAGACAAGAAAGGAACACAGCTTTACATGCTTACTGTCTTTGTATAGACTGAGTAACAGATACATAGTGACCAGTCATTGATAGACTGTCAAGGAAGTGACATGATTGATTACTGGTCATGATGCACATATGTTATTTATGTAGTGGTTTGTGGTTCGAGGAGTTAACAGTGGCATTTGTGCAATTATTCTAAATAATGCACTATGGTCATTGGAATTTGAACCATGTTTGGGGGGAACTAGTGGTGTTTAAGTAAACCAAAGTAACTGAAATTAGTGTGTTTTGGAACTGTGTCGTATGAGTACTACCTAAATATTGTGACATGAAAAATGCAAGTTGTTAAAGTCAAAATAAAAAATGTGTAGCCATCTAAAATAGTTCTGGGGGAAATATATCAGATTATTATCTGTGGTTACTACAGGTGTTTCTTTGTAGTGTTCTTACACCTTTTCCATAAATTTGAGGTTGTTTTATAATAAAAATGAAACATAACAAAGTATTAGGCATTCCAGGAAATACTATATGTTCAGCACCAATATAAAAACCAGAGATTGGCCCCGACTGGTATGGCTCTATGGGTTGGGCGTTATGCCACAAAGTGAAAGGTCACCGGTTTGAATCTTGGTCAGGCACCTGTCTGGGTAGCGGGCCAGCTCCCTGATGGGCATGTGAGAGGTAACTGGCTGATATTTCTGTCCCACATCAGTGTTTGTCCCTCCTTCCCCCCTTTCTCCCACTCTTTCCTTCTCTCTAAAAATAAGTGAATCTTAAAAAAAACAGACAATAAAAATAAAACAATATATGATTTGGAATAACTCATGCAGAGATGTTATTAATGAGTAGGAATTTTGGGTCATGGGTATCTATCAATTGTGTTAATATTGTCAAGAAGTTAAATTTTGGCTTTCTGATTCTATTATGTATTTGTTTCATTGATTTTTTTATCTGTATTATTTAATTTTGTATTTTAAAATTTTGAACTTTTGGAGATGGACACTTAATTAATTTTAACTTTTTTCTTTTCCAATATAAAGCACTTAAGGCTATAACCCTGTCAGCATGGCTTTAGTTGGATCCCACTAATTTTTCTATGTATTATCATTTATTTTGAATTATTTTCTAATTTTCATTGTAATTTCTTTTTTGACTCATAAATTATTTAGAAGTGTATTACTGCTTTTAGCACATTTTGGAGTTTTACTTTTTATTAATTTGTAAAAAATGATTTCTAGCATAATTCTACATCAGATAGTATACGCTATATTATTTTAGTCACTTAATATTTGTGGAGCTTTGCTTTCTAGCCAAGCATATAGTCAGTTTTAGTAAATATTGTACCTGTGTTGACAGGTGAACTTGAAAATAATATGTGCTCTATATTTTTTGGGTGTAGTGGTCTGTGAATATGAATTTGGTTAACTTTGTCAATCTTGTTTAAATCTGTATTATTACTGATTTTCTCTCTGCATTTCCCTTCTCATGTTTTAGTTTGGTTATTTTTTTCTTCTGTATTTTTAGTTCACTAATATTCTCTTCAATTTATCTAATCTGATAAAGTCAGTCTGTTGAGTTTTTAATTTTATTTCTTGTCAGTTCTAAAATTTCTATTTGTTTTTTCTAATTTTCTATTTTTTTGCCAAAATTCATTTTGTTATATATATTTTTTGAGCATATTAGTTTCATGTATCTTACAGTCTATACCTATAAACTCTAATATCTGGACTTATAGCTCTATTTCCAGTATATGTTTTTTTTCTTTTTTTTGTCATTTGACCTTACTTTTGGGGTGTAGGATGAA